ACATTTTTTGATGAGCCATGGACGGCAAAGGATTTTTGGGATATTCAGGTATGTTACATATTTACATGTGGTAGGTAGTATTAAAATGCATATATTTATTATTTATTATTTTAGTCGAAGCTCCCTGAAGGTGCAAAGCCATTTTGTTTCATTTTGTATGCGGACAAGACAAAGTTGTCTTCGTTTGGTTCTACAAAAGGTTATCCGGTTGTTGCACGTTGTGCAAACCTGCCAGTTGATATCCGCAATAGTAGAGGTGTGGGAGGTGGTCGAGTTGTCGGGTGGCTTCCTGTGGTAGATAATGGCTGATATTCAAGATCAGCCAAATGATTACTGATGATATTGGTAGGTGCCAGAAGATGAGGCTCATAAAGGCAAAACAACATTTGCCAACTTCAAGAACATTGTCTGGCATGAGGCATTTTTGAAGATTCTCGAGTCTATTGAACCTCTCTCAAAGACAGGATACTGGCACGAGGACATTATTGATCATATTCAGCGACATCTTTTCCCTATTATGTTGATTTTGTCAGCTGATTACGAGGAACAGTCAGTTGTATGACAATTATTTAATATGCATTTAATTTATATTTATACAATTTCAGGTGCGCAATGGCCTCAACACGAGGGGGAAAGTCCAAATTTCCATGCCCAGTTTGTCTGGTTCCGAAAACAAAACTATCTGACCACAGTCAAAAGTATGATATTCGGACCAGTGTCAAATCTGAGGCTACAGTAAGAAATGCAAATTTTCAGCCAACGGAAGCAGAAAAAGAAGAGATTTTGAAAAGCCAGGGGCTTCGGCCTGTTAATGTGAGTTTTTAACTGGTCAGACTGATACTATTTTACTCATAATTTGGAAGAATGTATTCTGGAAGCTTGGGTACTCTGATGTCCATTGTGCCTTATCTTGGGACCGATTACATGCCCATCATACTGGTTTATGGGGTCATCATCTTTGGAAGGAGCTCATATTCTGGATATATCAGCTTGGCCGGCCAGCTGCAATACAACTTGATGATCAGTATGTACCGGGTATTGGATTAATGTTGATATGTTACTCAGTGAAAGCTAGGTTTAAGAAAATGCCCCGATGGCGTAACTTGAACCATTTTGATAATGTTGTCAGTTTAGAATTTGCAGATGCTACGAAGCATGAAGATATTTCTAAGGTGTGGCACTATCTCCCAATTTTCATGTTTTTTTTTCCGGGCTGAGGCTCTTTTGCCTTAGATGGTTCTGTTTTGCGCTCATAACATTTTTGATGCAGGCTCTAATAAATTGGCATATACTCTCCTACGATGCATTCACCATTACCTTAATGTTGATATGTACACAGCCTTGGAAGTTCATACAACGGAGACTATTGCAGCAGGCAGGGATGCCCTGAAAATCTTTTCTCAGACAATGGATGTACGTTGTAATTTCTGAGCTATATTATCTTATCAAGTCAATTGTAACTCATTCTTTGATATTTAGGAATATATCAAGGCTATTGAAGGAACCCGCGAGAAGGACAAGGACTGGAACTTCCCAAAAAAACACACTAACATCCATGTTTTCGATGACATTGAAGCCAAAGGTGTTACCCGAAATTATAATACTAAGCCGAATGAACAGCTACATGGGCCTCTCAAAGATTCATATCAGCTGCGAACAAATTTCAAAGATGTTGCCGAGCAGGTGAGTACTGCAATTTACGCACTGGCATGCACATGCCAGGACGACAAGTACCTAATCTTGTTTGGATATTGTTATAAGATTCTCCGTGCAGATCACTGGTGCTACGTGTCAAAATATATTCGCCAGAACATCACAGCATTTGACGATAGCCTAAGACCTGACCCAACAATACAAGATGTCAACGATGTGGATGATATTACAAATGCTAGTGGTCCCGTTAACGACGGAACTGGTCATGTTTTGCTGGGCTCAATACGCCCTTCAGTGACATTTCAGGCCCTGGAGCAGCTGCAGAAAGATGATGTTGCATTTAATGGATTTCGCATAAAGCTTGCTAATTTTTTGAATAATTTCCTCCCATCTATCAATGTTCCACTGCCTGGGGGCAGACATATCAAACTTAGCACGGCAGACAAGGTTCGCAACTGCTACTACTCAGGCTTTAGATTTGGTTTACACTTTACCTTGACAGATCACCGAGTATCGGTTTCTGAAAGTTAACTACGAATCTTTTGTCGACTGGCGGCAATATACGGACTATTTGCAATGCAGTCCGAAGTTCTACAACCACCCACATTATGACTGTGTCCTGCTCCAAACGACAAATGGGGCGATTTTTGCTCGCCTAGTGTTCGTCTTCACATGCAGCGTTGACAATGCCACCTATTTATTGGCGCTGGTTCAGCCTTATGATGCTCCAACAGGCCAGCGCAGACGCAAAGATAAAGATTTACAGCTTTGGAGGCTTCGTTCAAAGCTGCGCTCTGCAACTGAAATCGTTCCTGTTCGGTCTATCATCCGTGGTGCAGCATTGGCACAAGACTACGATAATCCTGGAGATTTCTTTGTCATAGATACTATTGACACTGACTGGTTCTTACGGATAAAAAAGATCTGGAATGGATCACTTCATTCATAATAGACTAAGCAATGACTGTGATTATTTGACGACAGCCCTTATGATATTTACAGTATAATATTATTATATGTATGTGGACTTCCACAAATCCGACCTTCTTGATGCTGATTCAGATGCTGATGTCGTACCTGAGAAATCGGTCTTGCAGTCGCAGCCAATAATATCTTCCCCGTTCAAGTGAGTATTGTTGTAGGCGTCTCGTGATTTTGTATAACTAATAGTCTATTAGGTCAGCGCATTGTGTAACAGCGTTAGTGGTACTGTTAGTCCATGGGTCGCCCTTGATTCCAGCAACGACACCGGCCCCAACTCTCAATATCATGATTTCCGTGCCTGGACTAATGATTCCCACCCTGACTGGTACTTTGAAAGTATGACGATGATGCGTTGGAAAAACTGAGTCGGATATATTGGCTACACTCCCCAGGAAATCGGTAACTTCGCAAGCTCGGGCAAGTCGATAGGTATTTACAACAACCTCATCTACGACTTGACTTCGTACACCAATAACGGTCCCGCAATACACCCTCCTAATGGCGAACAAGCACCTGAGCAACTGGATAACCTCAACATCGATAGCGCCATTTTAGAATGTCAAAGTCTGTTTGCGCAACTTGTTTTTGATGGGCATGGTGGACCACCGTGAATCCCCTCAATGTCAATTCTCATTGTACCTCCTCATCTCCCTTTCCGCTGTCATGGTCGCCATAATTGCATTCAAATTCATAGCATCTCTCAATTTTGGTTCTCCTCGTGCACCTGAAGACCACAACAAGTCTGTTATCTGTCAGGTTCCTTGTTATACGAACCCGATGGAACTGGAGATGTACCACCAGATCAAAAATGTCATTGGAGTGAACCCTACTTTCTACAAGTATATTTTCACTGTTGATGCCGATACAGTGGAACCTCTTTCCGTCAACCGTTTGATTTCTGCGTAAGTATCAGTGCTGAATATGCGATATACCCAAGTTCACAAAGTTTTGCAGGATGATTCACGACAAGAAGGTTCTCGGTGTTTGTGGAGAGACGGAGCTTACTAACGCCAAGCAGTCTATCATCACTATGATGCAGGTTAGTCTTTTTTATTATATTCTCTCCTATAACTTAATTTTCTGATGCACTTCGTAGGTGTATGAATACTTCATTTCTCATCATATGGCGAAAGTGTTCGAGAGTCTTTTCGGTTCCGTCACTTGTCTTCCCGGTTGTTTCACGCTTTACCGTCTTAGGACGCCCGATACACACAAGCCTCTCTTGATCTCGAATCAAATGGTCCAAGACTATTCTGAAAATCGTGTTGACACTCTGCATATGAAGAACTTGTTGCATTTGGGAGAAGATCGTTATCTCAGATTGCGCTTTATCTCCTACTATGGGGTGAGGCAGCCCCAGTTCGCTTCGTCCCTGGATGCTAACACTTTATCTAGTAATATCTTCACGTAAAAGCAGAACCATATTGTCCGAGTCATTGCACGGTGCATAAACAACGTGTCAGTAAAATTTTGCTTTCTATCCCCCACCACCTTGTCCAGGATCTACGACATGGCTCGAGGCTCCTCATCTGATTCAGAAAACACAGATTCAGATCGAGTGTTGTCAAACGAGTCTGATAGTGGCAATGAGAACAGAACATCTCTCACCAATCCATTTTTGAGGGATGATGCATCTCTTACGGAGTACAAGGAGGTGAGTGAAATACTGAAATTATAGAGCTAGTAAATTCTGACCTTCAAGCTTGTACTGTATGGACTGTGACAGGCTGTAAAAGCAATACAACTCCAGATGGCCGAACTCCGTAGTGAAAACAGGGAATTGAAGAGGGCCAATGCAATAATGAAGTCAAATCAACCAAAACGTCGAACCAACGCAGTGCCAAAGGAGATCTCGACTCACGATGTAGAAATAGCTAGGCAGGCCAAAAAGTATGGGATCATGGTTGACATGCACGTGAATACCTCGTTTTTCAGAAAGCAGCGGCCAGATGGCCCATGCCCAGATTCAGAGGAGCGCTATGCATCACCACTTGCGGAGGAACAGGCACAAATCATTGAGATATACGAGTTCATTCCCGAGCATCTTCATTGCTTGATGAGAGAAAGTCATCACTTCGGAAACATAGTACGTCCATGCATCAGGTATTAATCTACGACTGTTTTTGTCTCTAATCAAATGATCTATCAGTTCTCGAAGAAGCTTTGTAATGGCCGCTCGGATATATTACACAAAATAAGAACGAAAGCAGGCATCATCTACGATCTACCAGAGCATGTTTTCGAAACGACTTTCGACAGGTCAACAGTGCCGGAACTGAGAGCATTGCTGGGTGTAGACGATAACAGGAAGGATGCCAAATATCCTATGTTCCCACCGGTACTCTTCCCAAACTTCAAGGTTGATATGAAATATATCTTCGGAAACCCAATCATTGCAAAAGTATGAAATAACAGTAACTTCAATACCACACGCTCACGTCTTTCCAGATACTCAAAGTCGCTTTCCGTGGACCTAACTCTCTCTCGGGTGGTCAAGGTGGTGGTAAGAGTAATGCAAATGCATGGCATGTTACCTGCAATACACCAGGTTCTCTGGCATGGGGTGCTGTTGCTGTATGTACCTTTTTACTATCTAGTCAGACCATTTCTTGACATTTTCATTCTGTGCTACAGGCCGTGTTTTGGCTTCACCTGACGACGAATTCCCACATGATGGGAAAGGCGCAATATCCCACATACAGTATTTTGATATGTTTCGTGCCTACAAACAAATCCTTGTGAAGAAAGGTGGCACTAGACGTATTAAGGAAACGTACCGGATGTTCAATGCTTACATTTTCTCCTTGAGCAAGGTACTGGCTGTAGTTCCAAAAGTGCATGAGGACTACACAGACCAAATTGAGCTGGCACTGGCAGCATTAGATGTTCAAAGTGATGACGATTCTGAAATTGGCGGCAATAATGAGTTATTAAATCCAGCTCAGCTTGCAGTCAACCATGCACCGGTTTCCAATGTCGCTCTGTCAACTTTGGGTTCCCACGCAATCAATAGCACCACGCCCTTAAATCCAGATGCAGCCGTCGTTTCACTGGCAGAGGGTGGGATCGAGTCGGGATTGACAGAAGGGTTGGTAGAAGAGAGGACCGGTGAAACATCAAAGTCAAAGAAGAGAAAGGATAAAGGAAAGTCAAACCATTCTCAGACAAATACTGTCAGTGAAACTAGTACTAGGCGTTCTCGTCGTGCAGGTCTTTAACCAATCTCGTTAACTTGTGAATTAGTTTTGTTATGTCTGTCGTTTTTTACCGTCTCAAAGTGACTTATTATTTTCTGTGTGCACAGAAGAATTCATCATCATGTAATTAGTACAGGCGGCATAGTATACAACGGCTCTGTGGTGTAGCTGTAAGTATCAAAAAAAACTCTCGGTTGCAATAGCAGTTGCAACTGGGTTCAGCGGCTTTCCAGTTCGAACCCTGGGCATGTAAAGGAATTGTTGTAATTAGTTTTTGCGTCTTGCAGCATCAAAGGGTATAGCCTTGCAGAGGATTAGTAATCACATCTCAATAAGGTTGCATTATTAAGCGCAATCACTGTGATTAGATTGCAACTGACGACTCTATTCTGACAACTAATTATAACTCGTGGTTGCTATTTCAGTACTGCAATGCATTGTAACTATTTTTTAAAATCTCCGACATACTCAAAACCTGTTGACGCACTTGACAAACTCGAATTTACGATGGGACGTACTGGAAAGAAGGCCGCACGGGCCAAACTGCAGAGAACCTCAGCCCAGGGCAAGTTCATATCTGGGCCAACCCAGTGTGACGGCGAATCAGACTACGAAGATTCTGGCAGTGACAGTGATGCCAGTGTGTCATCGACTGGTTCTCTCACAGTTGCAAGGCAGTTGTATGCGAAAAAGTTTTCTGTGCAACAGAACCCAATGAAGGTGAGCAACATGGTAATTCACCATAAAAAGTTTTGATTGAAAATTTGACAGTGCAAGCAGCCCGTGGTGTACACAAAAGATTCTTGAGCAACCTTTTACCGCCATAAAGCACACTGGAAAAAGGCAGTTGAAGACTGTGCGAAGCTCGAGAGATTTGGCTTCTCACGCGACACCACTCTAATGCGCAAGGACACCGTTTACAATCCCGAGACAGAAGATGTTGATGTTGAGGGTTGGTATGACATTGAGGAAGCCATAACTGACATGGATCTGATGGAGTTTTGCATCTCCTGCACTGAATCTGGCCCTATCGAGGATGATGAACTCGATGAACAGGAGCTTCAGGTGTGATCAGTAACCATGGTCCAGTGATTATAAGTGACTTACCAATGCATCGGAACAGAATACCCAAAAGGATCTCGCAGAAGCAGTAGCTGGAGAAGATGAAGATCTTGCCAATGATGAAGCCATGCATACAGCAGAAGTCGAAGCAGCTCGCGAGTGGCTTGTCCTCGATGATGATGACAGTGCTCTGTCCCAAAAAAACATATTCGAGATTGTCAAGACCTGTCTCAAGGAAGTAAAGCGGCTCAAAACAAGTAAAAAAGTCAAAATGATGACTCAACTTACTGCTGTCACCGAGTACGCGAAGCTTCACGAGCGGTATGCTGGCCACCCAAAATGCCAGCGCCCAGCACTCAATGCGAGCTTGGCCATTGCATATCGCATGGGGAAGGGCCCCTACTTTGCCCGCCAAATTCGCGAAAATGCAAGATACCTCCTCAGGCACCAGCGATTGCCGCTGTCACTTCGGAGTGCCCAGAATGGCCAATACATGCTACTGGATGATGAAAATGTCCTGCAGGTAGTTCGTTCCTACCTCGCGGCCCAGGCTATCGGTACCATCACACCCTTTGAGCTTTGCCGCCATGTCAACAACGTCATAATTCCCACATTGGACCTGACAGGGAAGAAAAGCACGATCTGTGAAAGAATAGCCATCAGATGGCTGGGAAAGCTGGGATATCAGTGCCGAGATGTCAAGAAAGGTCTTTATTATGATGGCCATGAAAGGCCTGATGTTGTCGAAGCACGGACCAAGTATTTGGAGGAGATGAAACGGTTAGAGCGGTACGAGCATATTCTGCAATCTCAAAGGAAGACAAACTTACAATTATTGGTCTCAAAGGTTGATGTGCAAATATGACGATGACACGCTTGAGCCAATTCCACCAGAACTTGGTCCAGGCAAAAAGGAGCATGTTGTTGTGATGTTGGATGAATCCATTGTCGGCACAAATGAGTCAGCTCATCGGTGCTGGTTGAAAGAAGGTGAACAGCCTCTCAGGAGGAAAGGGAACGGGCGGGGAGTCCACATCTGTGGTTATATCTGCGAAACAGTTGGCCAACTAAAGTTATCCGACGAGCAAATCACAGAGCAGCTGAAGTTGCTCGAAGATCAGCGTCTAAAGGTGACGGATTCGTGCAAGATAATCTACCCTGGAAAAAACCATGACACGTGGTGGGATCTCCAACAGTTGATGGATCAAACAGTCCACGCAATCGACATTTTCGAATACCTCCATCCCAACAAAGTAGGCATCTGGGTCTTCAATTGCTCATCGGCACACGAGGGACTCGCACATGACGCGTTGAACGTCAACAACATGAATATCAATACCGGCGGCAAACAACGTTCACTACGCACCACAATCATCCCTCTCAACAACCCTCCCCCACTCCCTGGCAAAGATGACACCCGCGGAAGACCCCAGTCTATGGTTTTCCCTGCTGATCACCCCAACGAGGAGCTTCGAAACAAACCTAAAGGCATGCAAGTGGTTCTTCAAGAGCACGAGTCGGTCTGGGATGAGCTGATGAAGAGGTCAAAGGCCGGGAAACCAGTGGGGAAGTGCAAGGAGTGCAAAATGTCGGAGGTGAAGAAAGACGCCGCAAGACGTGTTGCAGAGGCAGAGGCTATGGGCCAAGAGGATGCAGTGCCGGAAGATGATGTCGCGCAGGCTGATCAGCCCGATATTCAACCAGTGAGTGATTGGTGCTGTATGTATCGTGTTCTCTCGTTGCAGGACGACTTTGCAAACGAAAAACCGATGCTACAAAAATACATCGAGGGGCGCGGTCACATTTGCATGTATCTGCCCAAGTTCCATTGCGAACTTAACCCTATCGAAATGCTATGGGGATTTATGAAGTACCGTGAGTCTTTTCACTCTTGTTTAATTCAAATCATTCTTATTCTATTTGTACCAGGCTATCGCAAAGTATCAGATGGCAAGTTCTCGACTGCCAAAGTCCTCGTGCCACAGTGTCTCAACATGTGTGACACAATCACGATCCGACGCTTTTTCTGTAAGACATGGCGCTACATGGACTCATACTCGTGAGTTTCTTCACTTCTATTTTACATATACATCCTTGGTTTAATCATGAGCAACATTCAGGAAAGGACTTGATGCTTATCAGACTGCATTTGCAGTCAAAGTGTTCAAGTCACACCGTAGAGTCGGTCATCCTGCCGAGATTAAGGCTCTCATGAGCCGCCGATAAGGTCCCCGCCCGTTCCTCGATACTTACATGCATGTAATGCTGCATACTCTACCAGAAAGCGACGTTTCGGTACCAATAGTTGTCACAGTCTCAATTTTTGTCGTGATTTTTACTTTGTTTGAATTCATCGCATTTTGTTCAGCATACCTTACAGTAGTATCTAATACAGTCCTATTGCAATAGTTTTCGCAAAAAAACATGGTATTTTCAGCGTGGAATAATGAATGCGCGTCACTGACATTTGAGGCGCCGAAAAAGTGTGTCGTGCACTGTATAACTTTATATACATTTTCAAATACTATAGTGTGGGTAGTCGGAGATTGAGATCCAATACTCAGCTGGGAAGAGGTAGATCCGCAGATAGCAAGCGGGGACCCCCAGTTACCTTTTTTTTACTTTACAAAGAGAACAAGTCAACATGTTGTTGCAACACCTCAATGTCAACACTCTGTTGCACAACATGCGTGCACAGATTTTGAAATTAACCACACAACTTGCTAAGCTTCAGGAAAACCCCCCTGAGGCTACATCTGAACAAAAGTTCAGCAAAAAGGTCAAGATCATTGCTGACCCTGGCGCTTTCGAAGGAGACTGGGCTCGATTTGCCAAATGGTGGGTCAAGCTCCAAATTTGGATCAAAGTGAACTGGGACGTGTTTGCTGATGATTTTGAAATAGCGACAGCGGTGCTGTCAAGGCTCAAAGGACCTGTGGCGGGTCGATACACCCAAGTAAGACTCCAGGAATGCTACACCACGGGTGTGTGGCCTACCTGGGATGATCTCAAAGTCGAGATCAAAAAATACTTCAAACCGCAAGCTGAGCGTGACTGGGCGCATCAGCAAATCTGTACCTTCAAACAAGGAATGCTACACCACGGGTGTGTGGCCTACCTGGGATGATCTCAAAGTCGAGATCAAAAAATACTTCAAACCGCAAGCTGAGCGTGACTGGGCGCATCAGCAAATCTGTACCTTCAAACAAGGAAACATGAGGACAGATGACTTTGTTACCCGGTTCTTGGCCCTCTCCATCCAAGGGGGTTTGGGAAACAAAACGAACATGCAGTGGAGCTGTTGGAGTGCAATGTGTCACCAGCCATTGCACAACAGCTTTACATACAAGATATGCAGAGCAAAAACCTTGCAGCAGCTGCTGAGGAGGTTCGAAAAATTGGTAGGGCCATAGAGCTCTACGCTATGCAATTTGGTGGTGGGTCCACCACCAAAAACAACTATTCCCAGAGGCGCCCTGGGTCATCAAACCAACATAATCATTCTCATGGGTTCAAGCTGTTTGGGCTGCAACCAGGGCAGGGAGCCCCTATGGATATTGTAACAACCAAGATTTACTCTGGCGCACACAGGAACACACTATAAGGAAGATGATGAGGGAGTGGTTACCCCTTAGAATTCAGAGAGTTAGTTGGTATACAACAGGAGGACTTGCTGAGGAGTCTCCTGGATCTATTGGGGTTTATATACTACTACATGGTTTGTTTGTACATGTGTACTATACAGTTGATAGATACAGTGGCTGATGATGTCATGGGGCCTAGCCCGTATGACCAGCTCCACTGTGTGAGAGAGTTGTGTCCAAAATAAGAAAGGCAACACGGCGCGGGAAAGGGGAAGTGCCGCGTGGCACCATGTATAAAAGCTATAGTACAAGGTTAAAGCGGAGAAATAAAAGTAAAGGGAAGGTCCAAAAATTGTGTTATTGTAACAGATATCGGTGTGGTCCAGGGCGGACAGATGTGCAGATTCAAAGAGAACTGCTACAATTGCGGCCAAGAGGGACACATGTCCCGAAACTGTAGAAACAGGGTGCAGGCCGCCCAACAAAAAAATAACCAAGGGCGCCAGGCGCGCCAATAAGAATCAGAAAAACCAGACAATCGGCTCAATACTCTGGCCGGTCATTTGTACGATGAAATTTGGGCTTTTTTCTATGATCAACAAGTCAACGAGATGAAAGCCCAGGGAAAAGAGTTCGGAGCTTAGGTCACTTGGGTGCCTTTGCTCCTATGAACAATGAAGTAAACCACAACAAGGTGGCCCCTGCTCCGGGGTGTTGCACAAGCAATAAAGGAAAGATGGGGGTGGCTCCCCAATTTGTAAATAAGTTTCTCAATTTGTTATCAGAAGTATGTACTTGTATGCAAAACTGTAACTGTAATATTTATGATACTACTGTTGCACTAGCGTCCCTCTTGGAGCGTGGCCCCGGCGAGACAAACACTATGGTGCTTGATTCTGGTAAATATAAAAATAAAAATATAGAAAATCCTAAAATAGAAAAACATGTTTCTTTTGATACCTCTTCCTCTTCTTCTCTGGAGCCACTTTCCTCGGAAATCCCAAGGCGTGTGTTGATGTGCACGTATTTATTCCAAAAAGAGATCCGTTTAGATGTTGGTGTGGAAAACCTTGCCCGGGGCATAGTACACCCAACCAGCACACTGCTTGATTCAGGCGCTAACAGCATTTTCATAGATCAGGTCTGGGCGGAGCAAATTGGACTCCCCCTTGTAAAATTAGATGTATCTATTCCTGTCTATAACATTGACGGTACACTTAACGCAATGTCATGCACCAAAGTTGATTGGTAGCATGGATAGGTGTCAATAACGAAGCAAATATTCAAAAAGACTCGCCTTTGCGCCACACAGGCACAGTGCCACGTGAAATAACAATCCAGTCACGCTCACCTTTGCTTTTCCATTCGGTACTTTCCGCGTTTCGGCATTTCGGCAAATTTTTGCGTTGCCACTGGCTACACATTGCATTGTGCCCTCGTTTTTGTCATTTCCTTCACTTCCCTTCCTTTGCCTAGCCCCACCATGGGCCCCTTCCTCTCTTTTTTATTTTCACCTGATGGTCGTTTCTGGATCCCCATTCTTATCCACCTTTTCGTCACCTCCACCCTCCTCCTCCTCATCTTATTTGCTCCCCCACCATTTCTGATGTCACCACTTCCTATCCGCTTCCGTCACCGATCCGTTGACTACCACGTGCCACTGCTGATATCAGCAAAGCCCCAGCGGCCGGTCCAAATAGGGCAACAGGTCCATCTTCATGACGTCGATCTGCCATCATATACTATCAAAACATCGGTCGCTCATCTTGCCTGGTTGGAGCGTGGGTGGGTAGTTTTTGAGCTGGAGAAGGTTCATCCCCTTGTGTCACCCATGTTTATTGCTGTCCCATTCACTTGGGTACACTTATCATTTGTCCATTGTCTTCGCTACAGCTACACCTACCACACCCTGCCTGGGACTCACTTGTTCCAAATTGGAACTACTCCTCTCCCTCCCTCGTTTGATCAGGTGGTCCAACACAACCAGTCCATTGGTAAGGCCATGGAACTGTCGGATTTGGACTAGGTGGTGGACCGGTGGCTCCAGTTTCTTTTTCTTCAGCAGAACATTCATTTACAGTGCGATTATTTTTGATTTTTGAATCATTTTTATGGACACATATTTTTTAGAATGCCTGACTGACAATAAAGGAACTATGTTGATACTGATAGTGTTTTTCCTTGCCCTTTTTTTACTCCATCTTCCCATGACATCATGATTTTCCTGCTCTCTTTTTGCTATTGGACTTTACTTTATGGCTGTACAAACCTGTGACATTACTCACAGCATTCATTGTTCTATCCCTTTCTTTTCCTTTTTTTGACAATCTTATCCTGTACTACCTACACAAGATTTGTCAGCATACATTCCTTCCTTCATGTTCTTTCTCATTCTTTTTGCACAGCTATACTGTGCACAGCCTATTTTTCTTTTTACTATATAAACCCCTGTATTTTACCTTGTAAAAAAAAAAACAAGAACTCCAATCCAGACTTCTTCTCTAATCTCAAGTTCACTACTCTCTGCTACTTGTGATCCAGTGTGGTCACAACACTTCCCACTGCTACCACTGTTAATTGCTGTCATCGTCACTTCCCACTTTTGAAGTCATTGTTATCCCTTTCGATTAGAGTCCTTCTGAGCACTACAGTTTGTGCGTCAGGAGCCTGCTATCACTGGGAACCTCGTCATATTGTCGTTCTCAAACCTACCTTGTGCTACGATTAGCATGGTAGTGTTCGTCTATACTCGCCACAAAGCCCCTATCTTTCTATATTCCAACTATCCCTCCTCCTCAAAACCCACACCCATACATCTCTGGGTTTTACTTTGAAGGATCCTCATACATACCACCCCACGAACAACCAGAGCACCCACTGTTCTAGGAGGCAAAGCTTATAAACAAGTTCTGTGGAATCTGGGAGGATTGTGTGTTAGTTTGTTTTTGTGTGTGGTTTTCTAACAACAGTTCTCATCATCGACAGTGCCAGAGTAACTAACTCTTGGTTGTTACAAATGGCTTTATCACTGTCTGAACCTGAGGTGTCTTGCAACACATGTTCTGAATGTAAAGCTACCAAAGTCAAGATCCAGTATTAGACAATAATGTTAGTTTTGGTGATTCTGCACCTTTGTGCTACCTATATATTTTCATTCCTTTCTCTATCTATTCTTCTATCATTCACTATTGATTGTGTTCTCTATTATTTCGCCTTTGTGGCTGCTTTGTTTACCTTTGTTTACAAAACTTTGGACAGTACTGCAGAGTCCAATGCTTCCTATTCTCTAGTTACTCACATTGGACTCTAGGTACTGTATACCTGTCATACTCTCTAATAATAAAGTTACTCACATTGGACTCTAGTTCCAGTCCCTGATTGCTCTCAGCAAGTGGCTAGACACTTCCTTCAAGCTTTGTTCTTAATAAATAATTAGTTCACTTACTACAGAATCCATTCCCAGCATACTCCTGTACAAACAAAGCACAATCATGTATCTGTTTCAACATGCTTGAAACTATAGGGCATCGCATTTCATTGATGACAGGTTCTGCAGCGTCCAAGAAGTCAAGTATATTGTATATTCGAGAGAAAATACAGCATACCCTGAGATTCAAAGATACACTTCAAACTTGTCATAAGAGACAAACTTGCACCAGGTGCAGCAATGAACAACTTTCTGCACTGACCATCAGCATGGTATGCCTGTCCAGGCTGAGGATGAAAATAGTGCTATCCTGACCCATCAACCACAACAGTCATGTCTGAATAGACCGAATAAACGAATCTGACTGTCCTGACTGGGTTTGGAATGTCATTGTAAGAGCATGTACGGGAATAAAATTTACCAAAACCATGGCTATGATTTTTGATACGCCGAGTGGCTGACGGAGTGTGCCGAATTTCATTTCTGGCGCCGAATGTGCATGGGGTGAAGGGCACATGCCTCGAGGAGATGGGAGTAAAGATAGCTACTAGTCATCGTGCAAAACAGCTGCATCAATGGTGCAAAGAACCTCCCCAAGACACTCTAAGGTCACTCAACGATACCCTCTGCGTTCCCTAAGGATGTCTGGCCTCAATAAACCTACAGATACAACTACAACCACTTCACAGAAGAGAAAGAAGGCGCCGAAGTGCATCTGGACAGAAAGCGACACCAAAAAATTGGTTGAACTTGCTGAGGAGCATGTTGGCCTGCTTGGAGAGGGTGGGGGGTATAAGCCTCAGTTCTATAACATGGCTGAGGGCATTCTGGCTCCTTTAACAACAAAAGGAGCCACCAAAACAGCCGACTCAATCCGTAACAAATGGTTCAGTGTTAGTAGTAGAAGTACATTTTAAAGCTTCATTGCTAACTGCTATTTAAGCTAAAGAAGGAACTTAGTTGTGTAGATCAGTTGATGAACACTTCCGGGCTTGGATTTGACGTACAATGTGGACTGAAGATTACTAATGCAAACAGGCACATTTGGGATGCTTTCCTCAAAGTGAGCATCTTTATCCTTAGCAGGTATGGGACGGGCTTACCTTTTTTTTTGCAGAGCAAGTCGAAAGATGTTAAGTCAACCTACAACCGGTTAGCTTCGGATGGGTGGAGGTGGTATAACTCGATCACAGCTATTCTACCAAGCCGGGCAAAAGGGACTCACATTTTCCGTGCATCTCAAGCACAATCTGCAAAGATCAGTTCAGCGAGTAAAGACAGGATGGATGTGGATGCTGAAGGCAATGATGGAGGGGAGGATGGAGAGGATGAGGATGGAGAGGACAAAGGTGATGAAGAGGGTGCGGAAAGAGAGGCAATTGAAACAGAGGCGGTTGTTAGCGCCAGAAAAGACAAGGGAAAGAGTGGGAGTGAATCCGGCACCTTGTATGTGTCATCTATCCACTCCAAACCTACTAGCGCATCTGTCAGCATCACGTCCTCCGGAAAACGCAAGTATTCAGCCATTGATAGTACCTCTGTAATCTCTGCCACCCCAGGCAAAGCCCCACATTCTTCTGGCGCCGCTGCAATCAATGGTGTGAAGGAACAGATGCAGAGGATGGCGGATAACAAGGAACAGCGCGATACCAAGCGCGATGACTTCAGGTACCGTTTCCTGAACATTGTAGAGAGTGCTTTCACTGGCAGTGTATCCGGTGGTGGATCTTCAAACATTGCTTCGTCTTTGTCTTCTCGACACATTGAGCCTTTGAACACAAGGAGTCAGGCCATTAGAATGGCTGGGCAGATTGAGACACAGCTCAATGACAAGCAAAAAGTTGCATTCATTGATATGCTCCGTGCAGATAATGTGCTGATAGGCGATTACCTCGATATGGCCACACAGGACAAAAATCTTCGCATAATGTGGGTGGATAAGCTGTTGAAGGACTTTGCTGCGTTTCCGTCCAACTAGGTCTGTCATTGTCTGTCGTTGTCTTTATCTTTTGTTATAACTTGCTGTATCCCTGCTCAAATGTAAACTATATACGTTGATGTGGAAATAGAATCAATTTTGCTGTGAACTTATGAGAAAACAAATGAATACCGGCACCCTAGCTACTCTGTAAATAATTGGCCTCTTGTCCTCAGCTCTCGACAATACGATGCCCACATTCTCTCTGCAATCTGATCACGACGCGAATTAACTCCAAGCCGGTCTGGCTCAGTTGTTGGCCCTTCTGTGAGGGAGCCAGTGCTCTCCAGGGTTGAGGTAGTACTTGCTTCGGGGAACGTATCAATATCTTCAGGATCATGAGTTCGGATGTAGTTGTGTACCATGCAAAGTGCTGATGGTACACGGGCTTGAATGTCCATATCAAATTCAGGGGGGCAGACAAGGATTTGAAACCGGCGCTTGAAAACTCCGAAGATTTGCTCGATGCAGCAGTGAGCTTGAGCATGCCGCAAATTGAAGAGCTCTTCCTTGCTCTTTGGCCTAGTTATAATGTTAGAATAGCTAGACATATCACGAATAGACTCACCTAAGTCCAACACGGCCCCATTTGGCCAAATGATAATGTTCCCCTCGATAAGGAACAAAGGGTTCAGGGCAAGACCCAAAACCAGTGTCCGCCAGGTAATATTTACCTGGGGGGACACGTAGATCATGCTGCCAAGCATCATTGTATATGGCTGCATCGGCAGCAGAGCCCTCCCACCCTGTAAGCATGTAGAGAAACCGTAAATCAAAGGAGCAGCATGCCAGACAATTCTGGGTGACTGCTCCCTTGCAGTTTCTTGACAGATGGCGCTCAGACGACTTTGGGGCACATGCAATGTGCGTACCATCAATGGCGCCAATAGCACCTGAAAAAAATGGAAATAGCTTTGGGTTGTTTTGAATTTCGGGTGGAATGGAATCATTGGCGGAGGGTAAGTGTACATAGTCGGTGTATATAGGTGCTGATGAAAATGCGAATAAAATCTCCTTGAAATACCTGTAAAATGGTGAAAAGCTGGTGCATTAGTAGATAAAACTTTACTCACTTTGAAAGGGTGTCATTTGCATGCTGGAAACGCTCGCCAACATGCTTGAGAGTGAGCCCTGTGACGCACATATACAGGAAGACACCCAGCTTCTCATGTAAGGTGACATGTTTGGAATTGGTATGGCCTGCTCGCCTCAACACCCTGATCAGCCCTTCAAATACATGCTTATTTACACCTAGCTCACTTTTGATCCTACCCGGATGTCCATTGATCAGCTCTTGGATCCAGCCTTGGCCTGACAACACAGAAGTGTGGTATGGTGTCTTGTCGTACAGCGATTGAGAGTATAACACAATTGATTCGGAGGCGGCGAGTACAGCATGGTCTTCTTCGTCATCATCATCCATTGAGTCCTCATCATCCGACACCAGATACTCCAGTAGCATGAGACGGAGAGCTTTATCATCCATTGCAATATCTCACCCAGGCAAGCGACGATACTACTTCCATGTTTGGATGCGGAATCCCGTTATCAAGGTTAGAGCTCCGACTTAAAAGGACAGCCACCATAGTTACGGGCGGTAATTTTGGGCGCCCAAACCACATCGTTTGGATGTTCCCGTACATGCTCTAAGTGTGCTACTAGTATCCACATTGGGTGTGGCGGGATTGCACAAGTAAAAACCCCACGCCCCTTGAATCCGAGTTAATCAGAAAATTGATCAAAAAAGATCAAATCGATTAAAATCAATAACAGAAATGAGAGCGACTCAAAGTCCTGTTTAACGCTTTGTCTATACTATACACGTTGGAGAACAGTGGTCAATGCAGACCAGGTATCTTGACCCGAAGCGTGCCAGCGCGGCAACCCGAAGTCCGAGTCCGAGTCTGGCTAGGTATAATGTACGTGTGTGACTGTTTGTGAAGAGTCCGTGTTCGGCCCCGCCTTTTAAACTGATTATTCTCTCAGATGGCCGACATTTCAGACGGGTACGTTCGCTCCTTCCACTCCAGAGCCGGATAGTCCACTCTCATTCACTAATAGCGTCGTTCGAAGTAAACGCTGAAATATTTTCAGGAGCCTGAAAAAAAGAAAGGTGGATATTTGTAAGCGTCTGAAGCTGAAATAATTACCAGAAAGGGTCGGGTATAGATGAATTCATTTTTTCCAAAGAATTCATGGGGCTAACTCCGCCTGAAATTCCGATGCGTGTTATCGAACTGACCAGACACAGCTATTAGTCTCTTTACGCCCACGCTATGTCTCGCTCTACTCAACCTGCCGACGACTACAACGATGATCTTGATGATATTGATGAATTTGACGAGAATGGGATGCCTGGAGGCCCCCTGACCATTAAGTGGACGTCGGAACGTACAGATCGTCTCCTGGATTGGTTGGAACAAAATGTTCAGAAACGACATCTGCTCTTCTCCGACTCTCAGGAAGATGCCAACAAAGAGAGTAGGAAGAAGGGTCAGGCAAAGTCGAGCAAGGTTACGATACATGGGGAGATAGCTCAGTTTGTATTCAGTGGAGATAGGGATCCAGTCATACGCAGCACTCTCAAAGCCAATCCAGGAAGGTTTGCAAAAGCTGTCGATAACCACATTGCCTCGTACGTTGTCCCTCACATCTATTCAAGTCAGGCCAACTCATAACTTTCTGTTCAGACTCAAGAAAAAATACCGTCAATCTTGTACAACGCTGGGTCATACTGGAGCTGGTCTCACTTTTGACCAACTAGAAGGGAACCCCGACTACAAAGGACCAATTGGTGCGTTCCTACGTTAGTTCAGGTTGCCTTTTCCTTTGAGTAGCACAAACCACTGACTATTTGCATTATTTATAGGCGTGATCACTACAAAATTCAAGATCTTCAACCGTCTGCATGGCTTTTGGCGGAAAATCCCCAACTATAATCCGTTCACAACATCGTCAGATCCAGACCAGGATCACGAGGCGCAGGCATTCGATATGTTGTTCCCAAACAAGCGTAGCCGGAGTCGAGCTGACCATCATGCAGCAAGTGAACCCGCAATGCAGGTCCACAATCAGCTACCTCAACAACCTCTCCCCCAGAGCCATGGGTATGAGGATTATCAGCATTTCCAGAATGACAACTTTGTCCACCAACCGTTCAATCAATTCGCTCAGTTCAGTCAAATCCCTCCGCATATCAACCATCACAGTAGTTCTCTCGCCAATTCTGGCATGGTATCTTCAGCTTCTTCCTTGCCAAACAATTCATCACTACCTTCGCTACCGTCTATCGCAACTGATCCTAGTTTTTTTGACTCAAACGCTGCCAGCCTTTTCCCAGGAGCATACCATCAATCCCTTTCTTCACTTTTCCAGACAAACCATTCCTCCCACTCTTTCGGTTCTTCATTTGACGATATGCAGCCTCGAGGTCTCCAAGGTTTAGAAGTCGGACATCTACAAGTGCGTGATGTACCATTTCAAGATATACCCTTCCAGCTTCCAAGTTCTCCTGTCTCTGGATCCGTGTCTGGACACTCTGGTTTCTTTATGAACCAGGCTCCCGCTTCTCCCGGCTCGGGCCACTCCAGCTTCTACGCAAGCGTACCTCCAGGCTCTCCGTCCTCTGGCCAGTCTGGCTTCAGTGCAAATCCTAGCGCGAACCTCATTCCTCTCTCACCTAACCCTGGCTTCTTTGCGAACCTTCCCCCGTCTTCTCCCGTTTCTCGCTTGGCCTCACCTCCTCCCCCTGTCCCATCTAAGCTTACTGAAACTGCGCCCGCAAAGATTGTCAAATCGGGAAAACGGTCATCTGCTGTGACCGTCAGAGAGACACTCCGGGCCCAGTTAGCAACATCGTCAGGCAACGAAGTGAGCACAGAGCGTCTTATCACCACAGACAGAAGGGTCAGTACAAAGGACGCTGGGACCCCACAGTCTGCAAAGGTGGACGACAGGCCACGTAAGCAACCACGATCTCATATTGAGGACAATGTGTCCTTGATGCAGAAGGTGATGGAGCCTGTTGCGCACGCTATGCAAGGACAGCAAAGCCTTGCACAGGAGGCACTCCAAGTTAAGGGAGGTAAGGTAGCCGCGAGGCATGCGAAGTACACGGCCATAGCAGAACGTGCACGCAGTGACAGGCGGTCGAAAGATAAGAAGCCACTGTGTTGGAACACGAACAGTTCAAGGAGAAGCTGCAGTTAGTTAACAGAAGTCAGGTACAAAGGGGACGAGACAGCGACACACGAGAGACATGTTTGAATGAATTCAAACTCATCCAAGCCGTCAAGGATATCCCTGGTGTGGATAGTAGCATCATCTCTTCCCTTCTCGCCAACAACTCTACCTCGCCTGCTCCCTCTTCACTGGTGTCCAATTTCTTTGAGCAGTCGATTTCTGGCCCTGTTGCTTCCTCTTCCACTTCCGTATCCACCTCTGCTTTCAATTCTCGTGCATTGGACAATTATAAAGATTATAGCGGTGATGATGACGCTGATGATGACGCTGATGACAATGAAGACTCAATGGCAGTTGATGGGGGGTTGTACGAGTGAATTCATACTATCGTGCTTGTTCTGAATCATCGCTATCTCTGTACTATCTTATTTTTTGTATGTTTGTTGAGCAATCATAGTGTTGTGGTATTTGTGAACAAAGTATTACATTCAATGTTTACAGGTTCAGTCTACATAAAGATGACTAGAAAAAAGTCCCAGCATTAAACGATGACGAAGTAACTGACCCTCGGGTATATTCACCCCATCAACGACACGAGGTGCTTCTGGCAACTCACAGGCAACGGCTATATCATCAGGTACATCCTCGGAAGCTTCGCCCTGATTGTCATCTCGCCCATCATGGTTGTCAAACCCGCCATCATCATTCCACCTTTCAGCACTGTTGTCGCCTTCTATAAGAATCACCAAGTTGTGCAAAATAAAACATGAACGTAGCCACATAACAGCCCACTGATGCCTCTGGTGTGAACTGATTTGTATCCTGAGTTCTCGCAGAGATTGAAATCGGCCCTTGAGTAAGCCGATTGCATGCTCCGATCGGATCCGAATACGCGAGAGGTAGTAGTTATAGTGGCGCTCGCTTTGCGTAAGGTTACCATTTGTGGGACGCTTAAACGGCGCCACACACCATTTTTGGAGGGGGTATGCCGAGTCTGCCCACAGCCACTCGCCTTCGTCTAGAAATGCTGTGTGATCGCGAAAAATCTGAGTGCTTTCAAATGCATAGGAGTCGTGGACGCTGCCCGTATGGCCCAGACCGTAGTCAACTATCCGTAGATTGTGCGGCAAGATAACGATCTGGGATTAATTAGTCAATATCTGTATGTAATATTTGTGATCGGGACAACGCACCTGAGCGTTTAATGAGTAATTTGATGAACGATCGTACCAGGCCTCGCCAAAATGGCTTGGCTTTTGGAACAGCGGGAATGTTGTCCCATCTACTGAAAGCCAGCCGTTTTGCCATGATGGGCAGACCTTTGACCCTGCATAAGCTTTAGCTTTTATTTTTTCCTCATTTGTTGGTTTGCACATAACCATGTCATGCAGGGAAATGAGCGCGACAACCACCCGCTTAGTCGATAGCACTACTGTGCCGGCTGATACTCCAGCCCATTCGGCTACATCATCGCATGACGCAGCATTCCCGTAATGTCCGGCCCGAACAAGAAAGATGGCGAGCTGGAGGGAAACAGCATACTGGGGGTTGTTGGACTCGTTATGAAATATTGGGTGGTTCTCGATCAGGGTCACGATTGCATCAAAAGTTGCCGGAAGCACGCGGAGCTTACGCGAGAAATGGCGGGTGTCGTTATGGCGAGCCCACTCAAGCAAGCCAAGTTGGGGCTGCCGAAATGCAGGTGCTTTGGGAAAAAAAACCCTGGTCTCTTCCACCGTTTTGTGTAGCATCATGTATACTACGGATGTGACCTGCATAAGTGTGAGCTGAGTGATTGGATGTGATTGATACCCCATATCCTCGGCATCGTTGTCCTCACCACCCTCCGACTCTCGATCAGATTCTCGATCCGACTCGCCTATGCCGTCAGACCCACCGCTAAGCGATAAGCTATCCAAATCGAGCCCCAACCCCAACTCTGATCCCACATTGGAGCTAACCGAGTCGCTGGAGTCGGAATCACTTGATGATGACGTTGAAAGGCCGATAGACAACTGGGCCGGTTGTTTCAGGGAAGCTAGCAAGTTGTTAAGTAGCGTCGTTTGTGAGTTGATGAATAAACTGTCGAGAGCATTGAGATGCTGATCACGGATTGTAGGACGGTGTCGACTCATAGTTACGATGGATTTGTGGGGGGGAGGCTCAATCTGATCTGATTTTTTATATATACAACCTTTGTAGTCTGACTTTGTATATCTGATCGAGAATTCATCTATACCCGACCCTTTCTGGTAATTATTTCAGCTTCAGACGCTTACAAATATCCACTTTTCTTTTTTTCAGGCTCCTGAAAATATTTCAGCGTTTACTTCGAACGACGCTAATATTACATTTTCTCTACAAGTGACATTCGACGTCCTGCGTCGCTCACCTCACACGGCCACTCCACGTACTCACAGGCGGCGTCCACTCGCTACATACTTGCTGACATGTCTCCTCTCGAACCCCCCTCAGCCCCTTTCGCAACCATAGACCGCCCCGCCTCTGACAGATCCTCAAATGCCTCCTACTCCCCCCGCCCAGATTCCACCTTTTCTCAAAAGGACATCTCCCTCAGCGTCAACTACCTTCCCTCCAAATTCTCCTCTACTCTCCTCTCTCCTCGCGCGAGGAAGAGAAAGGGTAAGGGTGTAGATGCTCTTATCCCGAAAAGGGGCGGTGGAAGGGAGGCGTTCAAGTCGAGCGAGGCTAGGATGCCCGCAGAAGGCGACGAGGACTATGACGGTGTTACTGGTAAATGGTTTGGTGGCAAAGAAGGTGGTCACACCAAGCCCAGGCTGCGATGGAATAAATTCAAATGGGCCCTCTTCATTGCCAACGTATTCGTAAGTTGTCACCCGTCCGTTCCACCGTCTCCTCATTGTTTACTGTTGTCTCTGCAGCTCTCTGCCTATGCCCTGTGTGGTCTAATCTTCTGCCTCTGCACTTGGTTCGACGTCTTTGAACGTGCAGACATCGTCCGTGTTGGCAATCGCACAGAGCTCATCATCTCCACTACAGCAGCAGCTCTCGCCGTCGTCACCTCCTTAATCGGTTGGGCCGGTATTCTTCTCAACAATCGCTCCTTCCTTGCCGTTTACACTTTCCTCCTCTGGATTTGCTTCGCTCTCCTCGTCACACCTGGCTACCTCACGTACAAACAGCGCACATTTAACCTCGAGGGAAAGGTCAACTCGCAATGGTCTCGCGACCTCGGCGCCGAAGGACGTCTTAGAATCCAGAATAGGCTACATTGCTGCGGTTACTTCTCGCCGTTTGTTGAAGCGACCGTGAGCCAAACGTGTTATGCGAGGAGTATCCTGCCCGGCTGCAAGCAGCCGTATCTTAACTTTGAGCGTCACGTGTTGACACTGTGGTACACCATCGCATTCGCGCTCGTACCCCTCCAAATCGCCATCATCGTTGCGGGTTTGTTGTGCTCGAACCATGTGACGTACAGGTTTGGAAAAGGCATGATGCCCAAAGCTTACAGACTAAGCATGAACAGTATGGCCGTCATCATGGACAACTACGCCAAGTCAGTTTCCTTTCTCGTCTTTGCTTCTATTTGATATCCTCTTACCTAATCCCTTTCTTGCTAGCCAACTCGCCGAACAGTATGGCTCAGACGTGGCTTCTGATGTGATGACCCGCTCGCGATCGAACCTCCAGCTCGACACGCTGCCGTACTCTCCCATCACGCCTACGGGAGGCTCACCGTTCAACACTGGGGCGACGAACACGATGTTTGGGGGCTCGCAGTACGACTCGCTTGCACGGAGGGCGCCTGATACACCTTCATGATCTTCTTGTCTCTTTCTCTGAGTGGAATAGATGAGGGGAGGAAGAAAGGTTGACGTCGGTTGACCCTTGAGAGTTATGGACCTTTTTTACACACGCACATACCGCATCGCCTACTTGCCGTGCTATATTTACTCATCGTACACTTTCCGTTATTCCTATACGATTGCTCACTGCTACGTACTAACTCAACTACCCTCACCACACAGCACACTTGCTACGATACTCATCTTTTATTTTTTTACTCGAGGTCGTTTGTTGCAGCTCTTGTTTAGGGCGGTGTCCGTTCATTTTGAATTTGAATTTGATTGCTTGCTAATTTTCTTCCCTCGATGAATCGAAATTGTTTTTTGAATGGACACTTGAGCAGGCAAGCTTACGATGGACGCACAAGGGTAAACCTGACATGGAAGAAATCCTCTTTTTAACATCAACCTCAAGTTGAGAACACACTTGGAAAATTTGTATTCTCTATATAGTGTACATATTATATTCTATCCATATGACTGGGGTGTATAATATTTAAAAGAAGTTTGAATAATATGCAGTTTGCAAAGAGTTTTGTTCGACTCCACGACAAAAAATCAATTCATATTGTATTATCCATGCAAGGTACATATTACCATATTTTTTGGCAAGAACAAACATGTTTAGCAAGGATAAAATAAGGGAACATGTCAGTTGAATTCTGACCATATGTATGCGAGAATATGCTTTGGACTGCCAACTGATGGCCTCTCCATATATTTCATCAACTCTCCTGTAAGCTAGTGCTGGACAAAAACACCCTCCAGGGGGATCCTTGCATCCCATTGAGCCCACTTGCTGCATGGGAATGGTTTTCAGCAAGGAAGGCAAGCCAAAATACATCACAACTCTAAGCCCATTCCTGTGAATGAGTAGGCAGGGTTACAAGCCACAATTGAACCTTTTTTGTAAAACACCATCCAGTGTGCCTGTTTGGAATAGTCAAAGGACTGGGGAAGAAGGAGGAAGGGGATACGGATGAAATTGTTCGGGTTTGATCTAAATAAGATAAGAGCTCAGAACTCGTAGATGAGTCTGAGGATATATTCAAGTAAGTACCTAGATAAGATAAGAGCTATAGTAATGATTAGCTAGGTATTCGAAGGGGGGGAAATAAGGGTCTCACCTCAGAACTCGTAGATGAGTCTGAGGTGCTACATGGCGACCAGGCCAATTTATAAGTAAGACGGAACCAAAAATTTTACTGATGGGATATATTGGTGCGCAGACCACCTTAACTTATACTCCTTCCTTTCTAGGCGCTTTGTGACTGCTTGCCCTCACACCTCAATCCTCTACATCTAACAATGGATGTCCAAGCCACCATCTGAAAGTACATCTTCATCATCACTTATCTGAAAAGGCATCTTAGCAGATTGTAGGTTGGAGATTGGTTTGAACAACATGAAAATAGAGAAAGAAGGAAGGAATAAGCACTTATGTTGTCTGAGTATAACAAATGTTCTGACCTGCATACATCTGTTACGATAACACAATTTTCGGACCTTTCCTTTATTTTCTTTCTCCGCTTTAACCTTGTACTTTAGCTTTCACATATGGTGCCACGCGGCACTTCCCCTTTTTGTCCAAACTCCTCTTTCTCGCGCCACATTGCCTTTCTTCTTATTTTAGACACAACTCTCTCACACAGTGGAGCTGGCCATGCGGGCTAGGCCCCATGACATCATCAGCCACTGTCTCTATCAACTGTATAGTACACATGTACAAACAAACCTGTAGTAGTATATATACCCCAATAGATCCAGGAGACTCCTCAGCGAGTCCTCCTGTTGTATACCAACAAACTCTCTGCAGCTTAAGGGGTAAACACTCCATCATCATCATCTTCTTTATAGTGTGTTCTTGTGTGCATCAGAGTAACTAACTCTTGGTTGTTACACTCAATCCTTCTAAAAGTATTTTTTAGCGGGATAATGACCCCAAGCACACCTGAAGGAAGGTCAAGGACTGGCTAGAGGAATAAGCATTTGATGCTATGGTTTGGCCTGCACAGTCTCCTAACCTAAATCCTATTGAACATCTCAACAGGAAGCTTGCAGGGTATGAAAATCCCTTTAATGTGATTCATGAATTGTGGGAAAGAACTCAAGTGGAGTAGAAGAAGATACCAGTTGAGGAGTGCCAGAAACTAATTGAAAATATGCGTAGAAAGATTCAGGCAGTGTTTAGGGCAAAATGAGGCTATAAAAAGTACTGATAATATCCAAATACTTTTTTCAATTCAAAAGTGAAAAAAGCCTTTCCATGGTGTTGCTGTTTTAAATCAACCATATCTCCATAGCATGTGAACCAAATCACATGACCTATGGGGCAATTTTATAGCCAAGGGTATGTATTATTTATAATTCCACCAAAGCTAAATGTAATACTCAAGCTATTTGATAGTATGCTTCATGCATGACACCCAGAGTCAACATGGAAAGGGTTTTTGGAGTCATTGTAAATGGGTTGGTACACACATATAACTGTCCAAATCAAGCTACATGGGCCAGGTGTGGCCATGAATGTTTGTATAGTAGAATAATGTATCTCTTCCTTCCTTTACTAACAATAGGACCCCACCTAATTGAGTTCATTTTTTTGGCTTCCTTTAGCCTTGACTTATTATAGTTCCTACAACCACGCAGTGCATGTTACAATTGATGTACCAGTACCTACTTACGCTTCACCTTTTTCGTACTTTTACTTTTATTTTTCCAAGTCACATGACCAGTCATGTGATCATTTACTTTACTTTACATTTTCGGACTTTTCATAGTCACATGCTAAACATTGGACTTTAAACTTTATTTACAACTGTACAGTACCTCATGTATTTTAGTATATATATAGGAGCAATACATGGGGAAGGACGCAGCGAGTCCTCCTGTTGTCTACCAACAACTAACTTGTTGAATCCTAATGGGTAACCATTCCCACCTCTTCCTCTTCTTTTGAGTGTTGTTTTCATTGTGCTCCAGTGCCCAAAACTATGCCTTGTTGGTGTTGTCACAGTGCATATATTGGCACAAATTCAAACCCTCAGTTTCCTTCACTCCTCTACAGCCCAAAAAACAGGGCACCACCCTAGCTTAAATTGTTCCCACCCTAGTGCAACTCTGACAGACCCCAAATTAATGATTTACTTGTGTAAGGTAGTATCTGCGCCAACAGACACTAGGTGATTGATGATAAAAATACTGTTTTCCCACATGTTGGGTGGCACACCAGAATACAACCAGGGTGGTGACTGGAGGCCAGGTGTATAGGTCAGCATGAGAGTAACTATACATGGAAGCATTCTTAGTGACTAAGCCTAGAAGTGTCTAAGGTGGGGCTCCTAGGGGGGAGCAGGGTTTAAATGATACATGTCATTGAAAGCTCTGTATAAATAGGTGGAGATGTGAATAGTGTAAGCATATTTCTATGCACTATGACAACATCAACAAGACACAGTCTTGGGGCACTGGAGCACAATGAAAACAACACTCAAAAGAAGAGGAAGAGGTGGGAGTGGTTACCCATTAGGATTCAACAAGTTATTTGTTGGTAGACAACAGGAGGACTTGCTGAGTCCCTCCCCATGTATTGCTCCTGTATATATACTAAAATACATAAGGTACTGTACAGTTGTAAATAAAGTTTAAAGTCCAATGTTTAGCATGTGACCGGTCACATGATGAGTCTAGACGTTTGGTCAGGTGTTGTATCACATGACTTGGTCATGTGACTATGGAAAGTCGAAAATGTAAAGTAAAGTAAGTGCAAAAAAAGTAAGTGTAAGTAGGTACTGGTATATTAATTGTAACATGCACTCAGTTTATCATTATCATAATACAGCTTTTCATTTTGAGCCTATGCTAATATTTCAAACACTAGATAATTCATCTACAGTACGATCTTTTACTCTGTAGTCATGGGAAAGTATTTCCTTATTGGGATTCAAATATTCGGACTTTTCCTTCATTACTTTTATGCCCGTTCTAAGGATAGTTACACCTCAGTTTGTATTGCACAAAACTGAGGTTAGTGGATACTGTAAGGACCATTTACTTTTTCTTATCTCTTCGCTTTTATGTCTTGGTTTTCAAACACTTTTCCTGTTACACCTCTGGCCTTAGGGCTGGAGGTGTCATTTGCCATTCTCCTAATCATTTCCCTATTGGGTTTTCTTAACCATTGATGCCACTTCATATCACAGATCAGAGACTGGGTAGTACTCCCAGCCAGCCAGCACAATGGGTAAGGACTAGTAGTTGAGATCTTGCCAACCAGCTCCAAGTCCCATTAGTGTTATAATACACAATTTTCAGACCTTTAACTTTCTTGTGTAGTTTTCACACACTGTGCCATGGGGCACTTTCCATTTTGTTCAAACTCCACTTTCTCGCACTGCGCTGCTTTTCTTTATTCTTAGCTACAAAATCTCTCACACAGTGGAGCTGGTCACACGGGCTGTGCCCTATGACATCATCAGCCACTGCTCCCATTAACTGTATAGTACACATGTACAAACAACCTGTAGTAGTATATATACCCCAATAGATCAAGGAGACTCCTCAGTGAGTCCTCCTGTTGTTTACCCACGACTAACTCAGTCCTATCCTAAGGGTAACCACTTCCCTCACTACCTTTATAGCTTTGTCTGAGTTGTGCACCAGAGTAACAAACTCTTGGTTGTTACAATCAGTGCCTGGACATATTAATAGATGCTTTAGTCAGGATTGTACCTCATCATGAGGACATGGTTCCCGAACATGCATGACAAGCACCTATTATTAGCATACACTCTCACCTGCTGATTAATCTTTGAAGTTGTAAAATAGCTGCTCTTTTCTTATTGGTCAGTTCTATCCTCAGACCACTTTTCCATTATTCTTCTTTTGGTCTGAGGGATAGACAATTAGCTATAAAAACCCTACATACCCATGTATAAGTTCTTTAGCTTTTTATTACTTGAATAACCTGCTTTACTCCTCATCAAAACCCTTGAGTTTACTCTCAGTCTTTTACCTGCTATAATCTCTAGCATCTATTGACCTCAGAACTCATTGTACCTCTTACTCCCTGCAAGTGCAGCCAGAGACAGGTGTTGTTTTGTTATAGTATAAAATGTTGCCTCACAGATACAGCCATTTTCATACCCTCATTTACTTATTGTGCTTCAGTATTTGGTTTCTTAAAACTCTTAGAGGTTATGAGCCCACAAGATATCACAGATTCTTCCCTAACAACAGGCACCATATTGGCATCAGGCGTGGTCAAACTTGACAAAAAGGGAATGAACTGGGCCACATATAAGGAAACTATGTTGGCTAATATAGACGCAA